CACACACACACACACACACACACACACACACACACACACACACACACGCACAAACACACACACACACACACTTATATTGACAGACGGACGGAGATGGATAGATACTTGAAAAAGGATACAGCTCCTTTGGTAAAAACCAAGTCCATATTATGCCTTTTTTTCCACTAGTGCCTACTCGTCCCCACACAGTTTGGTCTAGCTCTCTACATGGTTTAGGTGGCTTTTCATCACATATTATGCCCGAACACTAAGACTGGCATTGGACATCATTGATAGATGACACAGGCATGAGACAACAATGAAAGACATTGCAGCAACTATAAACAGACTAAACTTTGGTCCTGAACAGTGTAGTTGCTTTGTGTATTAGGCATTTACAATGTTTATGATCAAATAAATGATTGAATTGAATGTTGGTTGTTTTCATTTTTAAAATAGGCAGGGTTTACCTGATGGAGTCACTACCTTATCATATGACTCCCTGGCCAATCAGCGCCCAGCAGTCTGCCTTTGGTCCTGCTCAGCCCTGGTGGAACCCTAACCGAGTAGGTGCTAACCTTATAACTGTTCAGTTGGGCAATCCCTAGTAGGAATGAAAAAGATACTGTGTGGAGCAGTAGCGGCTGGTGAAAAAAAATCTTGGTGGGGCCTAACCCAGTTCATGCATTTAAATTAAAAGTCCAATCCAATCCAATCCACTTTTATTTATATAGCACGATTTCAACAATCACAAGGTTTTCAAAAGTGCTGCACAAAAAAATAGACAGAAAAAATAGATAAAACAGTAAAAGTACAGCAAGAAAAGATGAGGTACACAGTAAAAATAAAAGTAAAATATATGCATGTATAAACATAAAATCAACGTTCTACATGGTATCAAAAGCCAAAAGCCAAAGAAAAGAGGTGGCTCTTAAGAAGAGTTTTAAAATGAAAGAGAGAGGTGGCCTGTCTAACATGCAGAGGCATTCCCTTCCAAAGTTTTGGAGCTGCGACGGAAAACGCTCGCTCCCCTTTAGGCACTGTCAGGAGCAGCTGGTCAGCTGACCTGAGAGACCGGCTGGGAGTGTAGGGGTGCAGCAGCTCAGAGAGGTAAAGTGGGGCAAGGCCATTCAAGGCTTTGAAAGTAAATAAAATACATTTAAAATGAATCCTAAAATGGATGGGCAGCTAGTGGAGTGAAGCTAAAACAGGTGAAATGTGCTCATACCTGCGTGTGCCAGTTAAAAGACCTGCAGCAGCATTTTGTACCAGTTGAAGATGAGCAACTGAGGACCCCCATATGTGCTAACCCCCATATAAAGTGCATTACAGTAATCCAGCCGAGTGGTCACAAAGGCGTGGATTACTGTCTCAAGGTGCTGTCTCTGAAGGACTGGTTTGATCTTAGCCAGCTGCCTTAGCTGGAAAAAGCTAGATTTCACTACGGCTTTTATCTGGCTGTCAAGTTTGAGGTCTGAGTCTACTTTTACCCCAAAATTTTTTACAATTGGTTTGCAATATTGTGCTAAAGAACCTAGATCAACTGGGGGGTGGGGGGTCACAGACCATGACTTATGTCTTTTCTTAATTAAAAATCTGAAAATTTAAAGACATCTAAGCTTTAAGGTCGTGTAAACACTTCAGCAGTGGGTCAACAGAGTGGGAATCAGACTTTTTGAGGGGAACATAGATCTGGCTGTCATCCGTATAACAGTGAAAGGAGATGCCATGTTTCCTGAGAATGGAGCCGAGTGGGAGTAGATAGAGAGAAAATAAAAGAGGGCCAAGCACAGAGCCCTGTGGGACCCCACACGAAAGAGGAGCAGTGGAGGACACAGAGTCATCAAGGCTGATACAGAAAGTCCGATGTGACAGGTAGGACTTGAACCATTCCAGTGCTGATCCACCGATGCCCACCCACTGCTCCAAACGAGCAATCAGGATTTCATGGTCCACTGTATCAAATGCTGCAGTCAAATCTAAAAGTACAAGGACAACGCAGTGTCCAGTCAGTAGCTAAAAAGATGTCATTAAAAACTCTTAAAAGCACTGATTCTGTGCTGTGCAATGTTTTAAAACCGGATTGGAAAATCTCAAGAACATTTTGTTCATTTAAGAAGTCCATGAGCTGGGAATAAACAATCTTCTCTAAGATTTTAGAGAAGAAAGGCAATTTAGAGATAGGCCTAAAATTTGACAGAACAGTAGGATCCAGCCCAGGTTTTTCTAATAAAGTCTGCACAACTGCATGTTTAAGATTTACAGGGACTACTCCTGAGGACAGACTGCTATTAATAACTGTGAGACATGACGGCCCAATTGTGGGAAAAACCTCCTTAAAAAATCGGGGCGGGACAGTATCGTCTGGAGACCCTGAAGGCTTCAAGTAACCCACAATCTCCTGCACAAAAGGCAGGGTCACAGGCTCAAACATGCCAAACACAGCAGAGCAGGGGACAAACACTGAAGGATCAGATGCAGGAGGTGAAATAAGTGCTCTGGTAGAAGTGACTTTATCAATGAAGTAGTGAAGAAAGTTCTCACACACAGCAGGGGGGGCCTCAATTCCAGTCTGTGGTGCATTCAGAGCAGAGTTGATAACTTTAAACAACACACAAGGCTTACCACAGTTTAAAAGAACAATATCATAAAAATATCTTCTTTTAGCCTCTTTCACAGTGGATTGATAATGACGCCAACAATCCCTCAGTAATTGAAAAGATATTTGCAATTTTTCCTTTTTCCACTTTCGCTCAGATCTTCGACAATCCTGTCTGGCAGTCCGGGTTGTTTCATTCAGCCACGGCTCTGATTTAGCTTTCTGCTGCCTGATCTTTAATGGAGCCGCAATGTCTACGGCAGTTTGACAGGTGTCGAGAAACCATGAGTTAAAAGCCTCTGTATCCTCACACACAGACTCGGGAATGACGCATTTCTGACTGAAAACTGCGGAGAAGTGAGCAGCAGTTGAAGGGTTAATAACTCGACATCTGCGAGCAGCAGCGCAAGGTTTAACTATGTGACAGCAAACAGGAGCTTCAAAAAGTACAGGCATATGATCTGAGAAAAAAGCGTCACAGACCTCCAGGCAAACCATAAGATAACACAAGATCAGGTGTGTGACCACGTTCATGTGGCGGCCCAAGTACAGACTTCACGAGATTAAAAGAGTCAATGATGTTTAAAAAGTCTCGCGCCAAAGGGTTTTCAGGGAAATACACATGAATATTACAATCTCCAACAAGAAGGACCTGGTCAAATTTGGGCATAATATCAGCCAAGAACACAGAAAAGTCTGTTAAAAAGTCTGTTATATGTGGGAGGCCGGTAGACCACAGCACACAACACAGTTTGAGAATGCCCTAGCTCAAACAAACTGAGTTCAAAGCTGGTAAAGGAAGGTGATAGCTATAACTGTTTACATTTGAAGTCACTCTTAAAAACAGTTGCAATTCCTCCTCCTCGGCCAGACGTCCGAGGAGAGTTCAAGAAGCAGCACTCATCAGGTAGAAGTTCGGTGAAGACACTGGACTCACCAACCCTCAGCCAGGTCTCGGAGATAAAGAGGAAATCCAGTTCCCGGGATGTGAAGAAATCCTTAAGGATAAATTATTTATTCCCAAGCAATCTGGAGTTTACCAGGCCAAACCTAGCATGAACTGGCGGGTCAGGACGAACAGCTGACCAGGAGGCCCGACACAGAGGCCGCAGGTTCCCCAGATTCACTCCGCGCCAGCGGGGACGAGAGCAGGGTCCGTGGGGCTGCAACATCACATCCGAGCCCGCCACCGGTACCAACCAGGCAGCGACAGGGTCCAGGGAACGTCGAGAGATACAAAGGCGAGGCCCCGCTCCATATACACTGATCAGTACGTAACAACCCGGCCCTCAGCCTCACCAGACAGCCACTACGCTTACCCCTGCAGCGGTGCCGTTTTCGCTGCGGTGGCGGCGCTGGAGTGAGGCAGAGGTATGTCGAGATGTCCGATAGGAAAGGAGATTTTTGTCCATAATAATTAAAGTTGACAAGATCTTTGGCGTAGATTCTCAGATCTAACAGCGTTTGGCGATCAAACACCCGCAGAGTGTTGGCGGCATGTGCAACATGTGTTACAAACAACAGAAACACACACAACAATCGGAGCAGCTGATGGCCCGCCTCCCACACTGGCGCCATCTTCCTAGATCTCATCTTCCTAGAGCTAAGGTCATCAGATACCCGAATATTACCAAGCGTCAAAGTCGGTAAAGTACTACAAGTCCACAATAAGCATTTAATTCTTATTTAATCAGAATAAGCAGAATAAGCAATTTACAGATACAGTTAACCATTTACAGCTATATTAGGTCTTATTTTGGAAAGGAACAGTATTCATACTGTTCCTTTCTAATTCCAATGTATTTCAATACAACACTCAATTTCACTATTTGTCACCAAACATACAAAGTAGGCACACACATGGTTGGCAACGGTTAGCTTAACACAGTTTTCCATATGAATTCTTGATCTTTCATGTTTCTTAATGCGTTCAGAGGTGTTTTAAGTCAAACAAAAAAAGCGCATTGGCCATCCCACAGGCTTTCAGCTGCGACTTACACTGGAACCAACTGCTGCTAAAAGGCTGGTTGTCAGACTTAGCTTTTGCATTGGTTCGCAGCGTTAAATTTAGTAAGGGCTTGTCAGGTCCCAGCTCCTTTACATACATTTTTTCCACTATCGTCCTTCTCGCGAAAGGGTAACTCAGTAAAGATCTCACTGAATTGTGTGAAAGATGCTCTTCAACTGTCGTCGTCGCCATCATCTCTACGTCACTGCATGACTGACCACTAGCTACATCACCTAAATCAGTGTTTTTCAACCTTTTTGAGCCAATGCACGTTTCTTGCACACCACCATCTGAAAACGTGAAAAAAAGCTTATATTAACAATACAAGTGTTATATTATTAATATAATATTATAATGTCCATCCATCCATCCATTATCAATACCGCTTATTCCCTCATGGGGTCGCGGGGGGAACTGGAGCCTATCCCAGTGGTCAACGGGCGAGAGGCAGGGTACACCCTGGACAGTCCGCCAGTCCATCGCAGGGCCACACACAGGACAAACAAGGACAAACAACCACTCACACTCACATTCACTCCTAAGGGCAATTTCCCCAATCTCCAATCAGCCTAACATGCAGGTTTTTGGACTGTGGGAGGAAGCCGGAGAACCCGGAATATTATAATGTCTTGAATTAAAAATATTAATCTAATAAACACAAAGAAAAAAGTATTTTATCATCTTTAATATTGATACTCACTCAGTGTGAAACCTGGGTCTGTTTGGATGAACACAGAGATGATATCCTGGCAGGAATCGATGAAAGACATACACAAAGCTCTTCCTCCACAGCTCTCAGTCTTTCTCTGTTTTTAGTTTTTACAGCAGTCAGGCTTGAAAAGCTCACCTCACACAGGTATGTTGTGGAAAATGGGAGCAATGTAAAAACAGCTTTGTTGGCCTGCATGGGGAACTCCTTGGCAGCTGCCAACCAAAAACTGTCCAAAGTTAGGTCTGCAAAACTTAGCTTGAGACCACGATTTTGTTCAGTTAGTTCCTCCTGCTCCTGTAAAGTCATGTCCTTTCCAACAGCTGATGCTGAGCTGAATGGGTCCCTAACCCAGTCAAGGCACTCTGTGGAGGCTGAAGAGAAATAAAATGTCTTCTCCTCAAGAGTTTTCTAATGTTTAACTATTATCTCACACAGTGCAGCAGTATTAACATCTTGCCATTTCTTGGTGAATGGGAACATTCCAAGATTGCCAATTTCCACATGTTGCTGCCAGAGTTGCAGTTTTGAATGGAATCCATTTATTTTATCTGTACTTGTAAGCAGGTTTTCATTTCGGCCTTGCATTCGTGTGTTCAGTTCATTCAGGTGATGAAAAATATCTGCCAGGTATGACAGCCTTGCACACCACTCAACACTTGCAAGCAGCTTTGCGTAATCGGACCCCTCATTTGTCAGAAACACTTTAAGTTCCTCTCGCAGCTCATACACACAGGTCAGCACCTTGCCGCGCGACAACCACTGGACCTCCGTATGAAACAGCAAGGCTTTATGCTCCACTCCCATTTCCTCACACAAAGCTGCAAATATGCAACTTTTCACAGGTCGTGACAAAGTTTACAATGGGCACAACATCATCCAACACAGGACGGAGGTCTGCTGGTAAAGTCTTGGCTGCGAGGGCTTCGTGGTGTAAAAAACAATGCGTAATGATCACATTTGGCTTTTTTTCCTTCACTCTGCTTACAAAGTCTTTGGTGCGACCGACCATGGCTGCAGCTCCATCAATGCAGACACTCGTGCAGTTTTCCCACTTAAGTCCTTTTTTTCCCAGATATTCTGATGTGACCCGTAAAATTTCCTCTCCTGTTGTTTTTTCTGGCAAAGCCTTGCAAAATAGAAAGTTTGCTATGATTGTGTCTCCATGTAACAAACTGTTTTGGACCCAAAGACACCCAGAGACGGTACGGTCAGTTAACAGAGTTTATTACAGGAACGTGGGGCAATCTGGGGGCGTGGTCAGGGAATTACAGTTTCGGCATCAGGTAATCAGAATCGAGCGACAGTATCAGGGAAAATCCAAACCGTGGTCCAGGTCCGGTCGAGGGTCAGAGCCAGGGAATCAATCCAAAGGGGCAGGCAGGAACTCGGAGTCACAGGCAGGCGGGGTCGGTAAACGGGCAGCCAGGCTGGATCCAGAGACTGGCGAAGCAGAACTCAGGCGGGCAGACAGGTCAGACAGGGTTCAGGGAAACTCGGGAATCGAAGGCAAACAGGTCGGGATCAGGCAGGCAGAATAATAATGAATCACTGGAAGTTCTTACCAATTGGCTTGAGACGTTCTGGCACTGGAGGTTGGCTGGGACAGAGCTTAAGTGCAGGTGATGACAGGTGGTACCAATAACGGTTGATTGCAGAGTGTGGATGCTGATCAGGAGTGCAGACGGTAGGTGGAGCCAGCTCCAGTGCCAGGAACGTTACCCCCCATCCACAAAACGCACATTGGCCAAGAGTTGAGCATGTCCACTTATATCAGTAGACTCATCAAGTTGCAAAGCAAATTTATTACTGATACAGATTTTGTCCAAAACCTGACTTTCAATGTCTGTAGACATCTCATTAATACATCTGGAAATTGTTATCTGAGAGAGTGACTTTGGCTTTTTCTTTGGCCGCTTCGGGCCCGAGCATCTAATTTACAATGGCTTTGCAAGTGGGAAGTATTAATTGCTCTGCCACAGTGTGGGACTTTTTTGATTTAGCCACAAGTTCGACAACTTGATAGCTAGCTTTAAGGGCTCTCTCGTTGACCTTTTCAGTTTTTCTGATAAAAGTTGCCTGTTTCTCTCTGTGTTCGTGCAGGCGAACAAAATACTCCACATTTTTGTTTTGAAGTAAAAGGTGTTTAGTTTTGAGATGGCGTTTAAGCTTACTTGGGACCATAGCACTGTTGGATAGCTTTTCACCACATACTAAGCACACCGTCATCCTGCTACCCACAATACCACCGTCTACGCCACCTGCCATTGCATCTATGCGTGACTAATTCGCTTGTCTCCAAGGACTAGGCAATTAGCTACCTGCTGCTGCCACCTACTGGTAAGGAAGAGTAATAGGCTACTACATGATTACTCTGCTAGGCGCAAGACCGCACAGGCACGCAAATTGATAATTTCCCACGGCACACCTGACAATATCTTGCGGCACACCAGTGTGCCGCGGCACAGCGGTTGAAAAACACTGACCTATATCATTGTAGCAGGGGCAAAAGTTCCAGGCGCCCCAAAGCCATTCAATTTGGCGTGCTGATTGGCCAAATATTTATTAATCTTCCCTAGCAACATTATACAATTGGTTATTTCGCTGCACTTCAGGGGCGCTTTGAGTTCTGTGGGTGGACTGTTGAATGAGAGTCAGTTGGAGGAAGAGTTTCAAAAATCTATCTTACATGTAGCCACATACTATTTAGTAAAAATGACATTGATAATATATATACATTATGACTTTTCCCCTCCACATCTAGGGAGGGCAACACCCGAGCGCCCCCTGTGGGCCAGCTGCCACTGGTGTGGAGCCTTGCCATGCCACATTGATTGGGTTCTTATGGAAATGCGCCATAAGTGTACAGTACATATTGTCAGATCGAGCACTTTGGAACTTTATGTTCACTAGCTAATTTTCTCAATTGGATTCAGTTTCAGTGTTTCTGACATTAAGTTAAATATACAGTATGGTGGAAGATAGGTTAGATAGGTTATAACATTAGAGACTGCTGTCTCTGTTCATCCAACATAAGGCTTTTCCCAAGTCCTTTGACTTTTCTACATAATTCTCATCAGTCACAAATGTCTGAGTACGTTGATGCTCTTGTGTACAAAAACAAATACCAGGAGATACCTTAAAATCTGATTTTTATACTTATGACACAACTGCATTTGGTTTCTGTCAGCCCAATTCTTCTTTTGGAGGCAAAAGGACAAACCATATAATTTGTTGATACATAAATGTATAATTTATCCATCCATCCATCCATTATCCTCCGCTTATCCGGGGTCGGGTCGCGGGGGCAGCAGCCGAAGCAGGGAGACCCATACTTCCCCTATCCCCGGCCACTTCCGCCAGCTCCTCCGGGGGGATCCCAAGGCGTTCCCATGCCAGCCGGTACATAGTCCCTACAGCGTGTCCTTGGTCTTTCTCTGGGCCTTCTCCCGGTGGGACGAGCCCGGAACACCTCCCCAGGGAGGCGACCAGGAGGAATCCTGATCAGATGCCCGAGCCACCTCAACTGGCTCCTCTCCATGTGGAGGAGCTACTGTACTCTCAGCCCCTCCCGGATGGCCGAGCTTCTCACCCTATCTCTAAGGGAGAGCCCAGCCACCCTGCGGAGGAAACTAATTTATTCAGGTCAAAATATAAGTGTGGGAACACTGAGTTCAGAGTGAACAAGCTCCTGTAGGACACAAAGAGCACTTATTCCAAAGTCTAATTCCCAGAAATCTTCTTGGGCTTGTGATGCCCTGTATAATAGACTCGAATTTGCTACCAAGTCTCATGGGGCATTTACCTTAGACGCAAACAACCCATTGGATGTTCACATGAACAAATTGGTTTGTAAAATGAGAAGCAAAAGGGTGT